ATATGACTTGCCTATTAGCTACTACTTAATCTATAATATTATCTCTGGTAGAGATATGTTCAAGTAGCTTTTCATAACACATTTGCAACTTTTCACAAAGATCATTTATTTCAGCTTTAGACTTGAGAGTAGTATATATCGATTTTTCTAACTCATCATAACTCATGCATTTTTTTTTAGCACTTTTGGTGCTTGTTTTGCTAAAATTAAATTAACAAAATCTAAGCTAAAATCCGCAGAAGCACACTACTCTTCTAATGATACATTGTCATCCTCATCACTATCAACTTCCTAAGAAATTTGATCAGATATCAAAGGCTTATCATCCTGAGATATGGTTGCACAGTTCACTTCAAGCTTATTTTTGACCTTATGCATGGTTACCGGAATAATAAAATCTTCTCCATTATAATGAATCTTTATTTTATTATTACCCCAGTCTACGGCACATTTATATTTCTTAAGAAGTGGATTCAGAAATATTAATGTTGGTTTAGGAACTCATACAACTGCAAAATCTTCATTTATAGTAAAACCTGGAAGTAATGTTATTGGGAAATTATGAGTGACACTGATAGATTCTGTTGAAACAGTAGCAAAACTACTAAGATCATACTTTACTGATTTATCAATTTTCCAACCTACTCATTTGACAATGTCTTCTGATATAATTGGAAGCTCAGCCCTACTATCAAGGACCATTGCTGGAATTTTTAAATATTTGATTTTAACTGATATAGTTGCAATACTTGTTATAGGTTCCTTCTTTTTAACAAAGTCTATTTCTATAGGATTATCTAAAGTTTCTTCTTCCTCTGACTCAGGTATTTCTGAGGCTGGTTTTCTATAATTCGTGAAATCTGGAGTAGTTAAGTTTTTGTTCTCAGATTTAAGTTTCTCCAACTGATGCAGGAGTAAAACCTTTTTAAGCATTTACAGTAAAATTCGTTGAATATCCTATTCAAGACGAGTTGATTTATTTCGAGACTTACCTGGAGTAGATGTGTCTTTTTTTGCTTTACGTAATTTGGACTTTTTTCCAGAAGATGATTTATTCGAATTACTCTTCTGATTTACTTTTTTTTGCCTTGGTAATATGAACTTTGACATCACTTTTAGACTCAGATTCAGAGAAGGTGTCATCGGAATCAGACCCAGAATCAGAATTATTATCAGAAGAGTTAGAATCTGAATCAGAACCAGAATTATTG